AAAAAAAAAAAAAAAAAAAAAAAAAAAATCTTGATAAAGTAATCCCTTGAAACAATTCACTTATGTAGAAAGCACATTGGAAGAGATCTGTATACAAAAAAGGAAAAACCCATATGATCTAAACAAACTCAATTTTTGAGAAAAAGTAAAAAAGAGTAGTGATTGAGGAAATCAGCCCCATTGTCATATCTCAGCGAATATCTCTACAGCGGCTCCAAGGATCCACATAAGATACTCAAAACCAGGCAGGTACAGCTGTGGGGAAATCGACGATGCTAAAAAATCCGCGGTTTTCCAAAAGTAAGCCAGGTAAACACCGCATAGTTTGAAATTAAGCGAAAATTTTCATAAGTTGCTGAGCGATTAAACTACTGTGATTTTGGTTCTGCCGCGAAAGAACTTTCAGACCAAATTAAAAATGATGCCGCCTGTGTATTCATTTGTTTATTTACTGATTTGTGTATATAATGTATTTATGTATGTACGTGTGTGCAATTTTGAGGACAAAAAACCGCAGATTATTGAGTTCAGTGCGAACTTGTAGAATCAAACAGTTCGAATAACCAGCCTATCCGGAAGCTGTTTAAATCGCCTTTGGTTTTGGGTGATGTCAAACAGTAGTAAGAGGCGTCCAGGTGACATTGTTGACTGCGAATTGGCGAAACGCGGAGTGTGGTTGGTCAAGGTACAAGATTTATTTTTTTCTCGATTTTCAATGAATACGCTTTTATTAATAGTATTGTCCTCTGTTATTGTTTGCATTGAAGTTCGTCAAAATGTGTCTCTTTAATCGTAGTAGTCTCATCAGAAATCCAAATATGACTGCATTTGGAGAGCCGAAACAAGGACTGAAAACTTTCAACGCATCTAATGAAAATGTTGCGGTAAAAGTGCTTTAGGTGAGGCAGGGTTTTCAGGTCCGATATTGTTCTTTGTAGAATTCAACGTAAGTTTAAAGTATAGAGCGTAAGTTCGGCTTCAGTAGTAGGCTGGTGTTGGAATAAATCTTCAATTTTGGCTTTGAAGTAAATTACTTTAATACTTTAGGCTTTCCTTTCTAAAACCTCTCATGAGCTAGTGCGAGTTTTCTTACAAGTAGGTAAATTGTGAACCAGTCAGTAACCTGTACAGAGCAATTTTTTCCTGTATTCTGATAGAACTAAAAGTCTATTGAACATTTTAAACTTGTACATTGTTTTAAGTTTGTGAGGCTTCCGGAGATTGCGGTTAAAACGTTTTTATGTAAGTTTCAATGAGAGTTTCCTGGCCTTCTTGGCAAGATTTAGCTCACAACTGTGGTAAATTATTTAAAGGTTGTTGTTTTTAGGGCGTTAAAGAGAATTCTTTTTCATTCTTATAACCAACTTCGAGATATCGTGTTTTGATGCTTACGTCAGATATTTGAGTGATTCAAGGCGACGAATTATTTAAAGATTGCCAGGGTAGTGAATTTGAATAAAAAGAAGAGAAATGACGGAGTTGTTTTTCGTTTTTTTACTAGGTAGTTCACCAATATGGAATTTTCCATTAATGTGGAAAATCGCTTCAAAAGAAATTGTTTAGATTTTGATTTTGTCCAAAAACGAAAATCGTAAATGGGCTATTGGTTGGAAGAAAACTGCTAACTTCCCGTTTATCGTGAATTGGTTTTTGTGTTTCAAGTGTGGTAAAGGCAAGGGGGCGAAAGGAAACTCATGGATAGCCACAGTCTTGGGTTATGTTGCTGACTGAAGTCTTCGCCGTTTTTCGAAAAAGCTGCTTCACCCAAGCGCTATATTCACGAAGTTTTCTGGGCGCTGTTTTGCATCGATGAGAATATTTCGAAATGGTTATATCATTTATAGAACACAAATCTCTTTACAATGACACTGATACAGCGAGACTACCTAGATGAAATACCGGTCTTAATTCAGCCGGAATTTACCAGATTACAAGCACCAGCATTGTAGGACGCGAAAGCCGGTGGAAATTACTGCATTATTCTGGTGAAAAGGTAAAACCGATCTCTGAGTTTTTTCGCGGAGCTCAATACGTCAGTCATACTGAATATAAGTCAGCTTGTAACCATCAAGAAGACTATGAGCTTCTTTTAAATTCTACTTTGATTTTGTCGTTCTTACTTATATTAAGCGACTCGCTTCGCGTCTTCCAACGGTTGATTTCTTGTTGAAGTATGTATCAGGTAAGTGTGGATACAAAAGAGTTCCACAAGGAAAAAAAAAATATTGCATTAGAAAGGACAATGGAAGGGAATGAAACTCTGAAAATGAAACTGAAAAATTTTTAAATTAGACAGTGCAACAAAACGGGCGGTTAGACATGATGATTATCCTTTGACTCGTGTTTGATTGCCGCGTTTACTATCATTGTTTTTTGAAGAATTTAAGTGGTTGTTACATTTTTTGACAGTTTTTGTGCGGCGCGTTCGATGGGCAGTTTAATCAACGCTTTTTTCCAACTAAAGTTTTGAGACGATGCTTGACTCTTGCTCATTTTTTTAGACTTAGCATTTTTTCTGTTGAAGTGCGTTTTTGGTTTGTTAAAAGTGGGTTTTTTTTGTTTTGTTTTTGCGTATAGGTGAACAGAAGCAGTCGGTCATTCTCTAGTATAGATAGTGGTTAGTGCTTTAAAAAAGAATTTGTCGTTGTTAGAAAGAGGTGGTTGTCAGTCTTGAAGGGTAGTCCGTTGGAAATAATTGGGTTAGTTATATATGGCGATTCGTCCTTGGGACATCCTGTACACAAAAGTTATGACGAAATTAAGTTTGAGAATAAGGTTGGTGTAGATTGAGGGATTACTTTTTACAGTTGGAGTCATTTTTAACCTCTATTTTCATTCAAAAAATAATTTAAAAGTGGACTGTGACAAAGCTGTGTTTTCAATATATTTTCTTTGTGATATGAGTTCTGGGAAGGGTCTGACCTTCTGACATGTTTACTTTTTGTGCATTTTTCGTTTTCCGTGGTAAATCGGATTTACTGCATGTTGTATGAGATTTTGCCTTTACTTTGTTTGAATTTTATTGATACCGGCTACCTTCAAGCAGTAACTTTTATTGCGTTTAATGAAGTATTATGACATTTCCTCTTAAAGTTTCCTGAAAAAGCATTAGTATTAGGCCAGCTCCTCATTAAGAGCTGTATCCAAAAAATACCGCTTTTGTATTTTTCGGAAGGAAATTTTTTTGTTAATTACTTTTGCCAGAATCAGGAGGTAGAGACTTTGTTGCGAAAGAGGGAGACAGTTTTTTTCTTCATGGGACTCTCATTTGCGACTAGATCCCAACTACTGTTGTTTTCTTTTAGGTGCCGCGGTACTTGTCGGATGTTTGGGAGAAGCATGCAGGGCATGATGTTGGTCGTTTAGTAATCAAACCTGGAGATGGTAAAACTGAAATTGTTTTTAAAATTAATCGTGCAATTGCATTTGAAGGTCTGTTTTTTTTTCTTTTTCTGGGATTTACGTAGATTCTTTGGAAATTAAATTTCTGACTTTAGAGACGTATCTTTATCAATTTTTTCACTACCTTTAACTTCTTTTGAATGTTTTCGGACATACAGATTTTTTTTTGTTTGCACGCCTGTTTTTTTGCACGAACTTCTGTGAAAGTGAAATTAGTAGACATCAGGAGAGCGTTTCATTTAGCTTTCTGCATCAGAAAATAATTTAGAGACAAGTCTAAATACGCCTGAAGCCGCAACATGCAGCTCGTTTTCGAGCGGCAACAGTTCTTCAACTGATGCCGACACAGTGGCTTTCAAGCCGCTAGGCAATAAACTTAGAAACTCATCAGTGGGAATTCCTGAAGAGCATAATTTTATTATTAGTGACCTGAAGAACCAGACTATGGCGGTGGTTTGTGAGGGTAGGCTACTTTTTCTTGCCAATCAAGCTTTGTCAGCATTTTAAATTTTATTTACTGCAGACAAAACGGGACTAAACGAGGAAGCAGATTCCAGATCTGGTCGTCTCAGTGTTGAAGGGCGCGTTGTAAAGCGTGCCGACTGTCGTCCTCCTCGTTCTGAGGGGTACTTGAAGATGAAAATGTTTGTTTTCTTTTAGTGTTGTCTTTAATTTTAAGACCGGCAGCAAAGTGTATTCTGATATAGAAGTCAAATCGAGAGATGTAGTCAGCCTAAACGCCATGTGAAACAGATTGACAAAGCCGAAGTGAAGTTCAAACCTGTTGCAATTCATGCAGAATCTGTGAGTTAACCAAATTGTGTTGTTTTATTGGCTTGTTTATCTTAGTTTTCTCTTGCTGTGTTGCTTGACTAATTTAACGGATTAGTAAATTTGAAGGTATTGTTGTAAAATTTGCGTCGTCCGTTTTAGTTGGCACGCGAAAAACAAAAAAAGGAGGGAGCCAAAACGGTGCGTGCAGATAAGGATTTAGTGCGACAGGCCATCTTTCACGCTTTTGAAAAACACCAGTATTATCGCCTAGTGGACTTACAAAAATTAACCAATCAGCCGCCTGTTCGTTCTCTTTATAAAATTTCTGTTGAGATTCAATTTATAGAAAGAAGTTCTTTTTAAACTTATGAGAGTAACCATTACGTGCTGACTTAAGGGTTACGTCAAGGAGATACTTATGGAGATCGCTCAGTACAATACAGTACCACCTCATAAGTCTATGTGGGAATTGAAACCGGAATACCGCAATTACGGCGACAAAAGTACAGATTGATTTTGCTTTTGTACGCACTTCTTAGTATCATTTGTAGTTGTCTACGAACAGCTTTTCAAATTCTCGGTATATCGCTTTGTCAAAACATTTGTTATCTTTGAAAAGGTTCTAAAAGTTCATTTGAATAAATCGTTTGCAAGACAATTTTTGACGGTTTAAAAACCACTAAGAGCACTGCGGTCAAAAGCAGCAGGTATACTGCAGGATTCTTATTGATCATGAAAGAACGTCTTTCAGGAAGTACAAAGAAAACGAGTATTTTTTTGAAGGAATTTCATTGTTTTAAGGACTGAATTTTTGAGGTGTTTTTTAGAATGAGTGCTGAAAGTGAAGCAGTAATTTTCAGAATAGTCTAGAATTTTAAGTTAAACGCTGCAACTTTTAAGTTAAACACTGGAAACACCGCAACCATCATATGCTGGGCAAAAGCTTTTATTACAGCGATTTATACTTTGCTTAGTGTTCATCGGGTCAAATGCGACTGGATTCGTTTTACATTTATTAGACACAGGGTTTAGGTGTCGCTGCTGATCTGAAGAGGGAGTTGAACGGGGCGTTTGTCGGGTTTTCTTATGTTTTAAAGGTTCTGTCGTGTACGTAGCTCAACTTTATTGC